TCTTCTTTTCTGTGCAGTTGAGAAGAAAATATGCTCCAATCCAACAAGCAAAGAACTTTCTCCCCACTTTTCTTCTTTATCTTTTTTCTCTGACCCTTTTGTTCTCACTACTTCATGATGAGTTTCTGTTCTGATCACACCAAGGGTGTTTCCAATGAACATGTTTCCTCTGCAGTTGGAAATGACTCTTCTGAGAACAAAAGGCTCAAATTCATGGCCTTTTTGAGAAAAACCATGTGGAACTTTGCCTTGGCGTGTGTTGGTGTTGGTCCTTGTGGTGGCAGCAACGACCATAACGGTCAAAGGAAGAAAACTTCGGAGCATAACAAGGCGTGGTTGCTGGCGGAGTCTGGAGCAGAATTGGCTACTGCTGACCCTCAATCGGTTCACTCATCTTTCAGGTTCAGTTTCTGCTCTCAGGTTGAGGTTGAGTCCTTCAACATGAGCTCTTCTGCTTCTGCTGCTGCCGCTGCAACCTTTTTGATGGTAAATTTGGAATGTGAATCTCAAGTTAAGGAGATGAAATGGAGAATACATTCGCTGGAGAAAAGCATGTCTCCAGTCTTCAACCCTTTGATCAGGTTCAGCTATGATGAAATTCTGTCAGCCACTCACAATTTCTCCAAAGGTGTGAATATTCTGTTGATGGCATTGAATTTGATTCCTTGTGTGAGATTGTGATTCTATGTTTTTTTCTGTGGACAGGGAGAGTGTTGGGGAGAGGTGCCTTGAGCTGTGTTTATAGAGGAAGAGTTGGGTTTTGGAGAACTGCTGTTGCTATTAAAAGGTTGGACAAGGAAGACAAGGAGTGTGCTAAGGCGTTTTGTAGAGAATTGATGATTGCTAGTTCTCTTCATAACACAAATGTTGTTCCTCTTGTGGGGTTTTGTATTGACTCAGAAGAGGGTTTGTTTTTGGTATACAAGTATGTGTCTGGGGGCAGCTTAGAGCATCACTTGCATGGTAGTCATTTTACCTGATTTTTCTTGACTCCTAATGCAAGCCTCATAGTGGTTTCCATTGAATTTTATGTTTTTCACTGATTATAGATGACCTTTTTTATAGGGAAGAAGAAAAATGTGAAGGGTAGTTCACCACTTCCATGGTCTGTGAGATATCAAGTTGCAATTGGGATTGCAGAAGCCGTGGCTTATCTGCATAATGGAACAGAAAGATGTGTTGTTCATAGAGACATTAAGCCTTCAAACATTCTGCTCTCCTCTAAGAAGATTCCCAAGGTAAGATTCCCTTTTGCTGATAACTTGTAGTATACCGTATGTAGTAGAAATTGTATATAAAGAACACCCTACAAGTCATTCTGATTAGTTCTTTTTTGCTAAATTGCAGTTATGTGATTTTGGATTAGCTTCATGGACTTCTGCCCCATCAGTTCCTTTTCTTTGCAAAACAGTGAAAGGAACATTTGGGTGTGAACTTAACTCCTTCATATCGATTTAGCAATTTTTGTGTCGAGGGGGTTGGCTTTTTTCTTTCTTTATTTTCATACTTTGATCATTCAAATAAATTGTTCTATCTTCTTTTACTCGACAGTTATTTGGCTCCTGAGTATTTCCAACATGGGAAAGTATCAGATAAGACTGATGTTTATGCTATGGGAGTTGTTTTATTGGAACTCTTAACTGGCCGCAAGCCAATTGAAGCAAAAAGACCCCCAGGAGAGGAAAACTTGGTGATATGGGTGAGTAAATGATAAAATAAAATGTCATATCAATGATTAACACACAGATTTTAAATTTCTGACTCCTACAAGACTACAACAAAGTAGAAAATTTGTCAGTTTATCTGGTTCTACAATAAAATTGCCCGATCTAGCTGCAAAACATGACATTTAAGACTGTTTGGGTTAAGCAAATGTTTAAGGTTCAGTTTTTGTATTTCACTAGTAACCACTAAAGTTTCATCTTGTTTTTATCCATGACATTGATTTTCAGGCTAAACCTTTGCTCAGGAAAGGGAAAGGAGCGATTCAAGAGTTGCTTGATCCTCAAGTCAAGTACAATTCGAGTTACACAGATCAGATGGCTCGAATGGTCGATGCAGCAGCTGCCTGTGTTACAAATGAAGAATCTAGGAGGCCAAGCATAGGTGAGATTGTTGCAATACTGAAAGGTGAAGTTGAACCTGTGCTCTCTAGAAGAAGGAAGTCTGGTTATCTTGGTAATGGATTTGTGATTGATTATTACCCTCAGTTACAACAAACAAACAATGAGATGAAAAGTCACTTGGCCTTGGCAATGCTAGGAGTTCCAGAGTGTGAGGATGAGGATTTTCTCTACGATCGTTGAGAATTGTTTTTTCCATGATTCTCACCATAGTGCAGGGTTTAGATGTCAATGTTTTCAAGTTGTTAGCAGAAACAGAAGCTCAGAGGAACATTGCTTGTTTGTACATTTCTTCCTTTACCCCAAGGAGTAAAGTGTAATATATTTTCTTGAGTTTATAAATATTTCTATGGATAAACTATTCTCTCTAAATTCTATTGTCATGGATAGTTTTATCTTGTATTTTATTATAAAACTGTTAAGACTGTTACTTTTTATTCAGATTTTGAGTATAAATAATATAGAACATCTTATACTTTATTATAAAATTTTCATAGCTCTTAATTTTTATATCGATTCTAGTAATAATTTGTTGAGAAAATCTTATCATATTTACAATTTTGTCACCATTTTACTTGACAAGTAATTTATAACTCATAATAAGCCAGTCGTAAAATCTAATATTTACACTAATTAATACACAAAACCAAGACAATTTTGTATTGACAAAAGATCACCTAAATATTAAGATAATGTGCTAAACAGGTGTTTACATGACGTGCAAACTTAAAATTTGCACGCTTTTAAGTAGACTCCATTTAATAAGATAAATGTTGGTGCACCTATCTTGGCGTCAAGGGCATGCACCTTGTTATATAATACACACAATGTAGAAAAGGTCCAAAAGAGGATTACAAAATGAAATGAAAAACCTCTGATTTTGATCATTATCTATATGTAGAAAGTCAGAAAGCATGCATACATACACAAAAGCTGTTTTCTCTTCTCATTGGTGACAACATGCAATAGAACAGAACAAAGGAAGTAAGAACGAAATGAATTAATTAATTAATTAATTAATTACAATAGGATGGTGGTTAATGAATCAAGTTAAAAAATCTTTGCAACATCTCTGACTAGGCCACGGTTGGCTCTTGCAAATTCTGTGAACTCTTCGTGTGAAATATAGCCATCTCCATCAGTGTCAATCTCTTCCATCATCCTTTGCACCTCTTCTGATGTTACTGATCCAAGTGCCTTCAGTGCTTCTCCGAGCTCAGCTGAAGAGATTTGACCATCGCCGTTCGCATCAAAACGCTTGAAAATGCGCTCCCTGTCAGCCACGTCTTGAGGATCATCAGCCATTGTGGTTGGTTAGACAGACACAAATGTAAGAATAACAAATTATACTAATGTCTTGTTTCAATGAATGAGTTCCTTATGGTTTGTTTGGTTTGGATGAGTTGCACTGAGATTGCAGATTGGTCAAAGGGTGTGGAACTTGGTTCTTAAAGAGGTGGGGTGCCACTTGATGTAAGGACACCCTTTAATGTCGGGGTTGGTGTCCTATTTGGCAATCATCATCAGACATAGTCATGGTTTACAACCGTTTTATTACTATACTTTTTTATGGATGAAAATGTTTGGGACATGAATGGAGAATGTTTCTGACTTGTGGTTGAAAATGGAAAGTGCTCTAACTTTGGTTCAATTTATTGCTATGGGATAATTTTAAACCATAGCTTCTCTTGGAGCATTGTAATTAAATAGCTATCTTAAACTCAAATATTCATTACCAAACATTAACATATTAAGTAATTTTTTTTATCAGCAAAAAATAAAATATATTTATACAATAGACACAACCCTTATACAAAAGTTATATATTTTAAATTAATTTTCTCATACAAATCTCTAACTCAAAATTCTGTTATTGAAAGACAGGAAAGAATCTATACAATCTTTCAAAATGTACATTTTTTCTTCACATATATGGCCTGTAATTCGGTGTAGTGCTTTTTACTTGGTTATTACTTATTTTGTTCTTAGTTAAGAGGCTAAATAAGAATTTGATTAGAAATATGTTGAGTTTTCTAGAATATCCACTTTGATGAAAATCATAAAATAAAGTTAGAAGGCATAGTTTTTTAGGCCACAATCAAATGACCGACAATATTGATGATTAGCATATTCTAGCGATAAGGTTGATAGCGAATTAAACTTGAAAATATATTAATATTCTAGATGAATGCATGTTATTGAATTTATTGTTAAACATATTTATAAATTATATCAAGTACTTATCTTATAAAGAGAATATGACAAAAGTTTCTAACTTTAAAGAGAGACTAAATGAGGTCACTAATATAATAAAGAATGGATATTTGAATTCAATATTTCTCTTAAAGTGACAATATTTCTCTTAAAATGGAATAGTTCATGTCTTTAAGTCAAGTTTGTTTGAGGATATCCGTTTAAATTTTTATGAAGTTAACACTATTATGTTGTTTAATGCTATTTGGTGTTAAATTTAATCCTTTGTAGTATAACAAGGTTAATTAATATACTTTTTATTGAGAAATATATGTCGTATACACTTATATAATTAAAAAAAATTGTTACACATAATATTATATAGATGTTTGAAGAATGAAAAGTATAACTAAAAAAACATAATTAAAAATGAAATAAAGTAATATAAAAATTAAAAACAATTCTTTAAATACAAGTTATTATGATCATAAATGTATGAAAATTGGTATTGGAAAGCAAATTTTAATAATTGTTAAACTACATAAGAGACTCACTATAGAAACCATTTATAAATTTGATATTACCTAATCTACTTAAACTGTGCATATATTTTTTATAGTATCAAGTATTTTATGTACAAAATTCCGTTTTATGCTTTAGTTGAATTAAAAAATATATCACAAATTACATAGAAACTTCTACATCATAGATCAAGTACAAATGGATACATGGAGAACAATTCTCCATTAGAAATGAACTTGATTAATGTAGAATTTTGCCTGAACTAAATGACCAGTTTTTATTCATTGTCCTAGCTCACAATTTCCCAGAAGAATTTAAATTCCCCTCTCCAGAAAGAATTATCCTCACTCACCACATAATTACATTGAGTGGCCGCAAAGCTAGGAGACTGGCTTAAGCATAGCATCAAGAACAGCTTCCTTGGTAGGTAAAGCTGGAATTGCACCTCTCTCAGTCACAGTCAATGCACCACAGACATTAGCAAACTTTAGAGAATCTCTCAACTCTTCTTCTTTCTACAGTCATAAATCATAAAAGTTGCCAGTCTCACCATGCATGATAATCTATAATAAATAACATTGTAAAACTTATTATATTGTTAGCACATTTCAGTTAAATTCTAAAGCCTTAAACTCACTTGTGGGCACCCATTTGCAGAGTGATTATTTTCAGGGGAAATGTATGTTTGGTTTTTCCAATTTCAGTTTTGGCTTTTATATTTCAAATTGAAGAATTTAGTTTTCCAATTTTAAAATAAGTGAACTTAACTTTGTAGTGATAATAAAAAAATTATTACTAAAGTTTAAACACTGGGCAATACTAAAGCACATATTTCTGAAGTTGGAGTAGTAAACTCATCCATTTTGAAAATAGAAACACTAAATTCTAGTGTTACCGAAAGTATAAAGATTAAGAACACTTTTTTCCTTATTCCAGTTCCCAATTCTTCCGTGTTTTACATTTACAGCCATAAAATCACAGAATTTAAGGCAAGAGATTGAGATTTCTTTCAATAATTTAAACAATAATATGTGCTCCATACTGCAAGAGTTTCTGCAGTTGTGAGATGTAAACTTTTGGGATGTGTTAATAACAAAAGCAAATACATTTTCCTTACCTGAATCAATGAAAGATTCACAGATAATTGTGATAACATTCCAGCCACAAAAGCATCACCAGCACCAGTAGTGTCAACAGCATCCACCTTCAATCCCTTCACCCTGCTACTGAACTCCTGCAAAGAAATACCAGGACAGGTTTCAAATCATAATAATCAATAGTACACTATGTTTAGCAGCAGAAATGCCATTAGAATTTGTAGCTAATAACTTTTCCAATACTTCTTTTAGTTATCTTCAACAATCAATTTCCAAAAGAAGAGAGGATGCCAAACAAATATTCCCTATTTTGTTTTCAACAATTTTATGTTCCCACTATTGTATTCAAGAATTACAACAAGGACTCATTGAAGGTGATAGAGGAATAAAAGTGTATGTTAGGAGAAATAAAGGCGGGAAAGGAAGTTAAGAGGGAAAGTCTGTTAGAAGTTTGTTAGAGGGGCAAGATAGTATAAATAGTAGTAGAATAAGTGGAGAGGGGTTTTTTTTATGAGATATTTTACTCTTGGGAAATTAGACTGGACATTTTCCAGTGGAGGAAGGGAGGCTTCCTTGGGATTCTTACTTGTCATTCTGTTTGACATACTTTACAGAATTAATGAAATACTCATACATTTAATTTCTTGGTTATTGTTTGAGTGTTGTGAGAAGGGAGAATTATCTGTTACGGCTCTTTGCCTAAAAGAACCTAACAGAAGGTTTATTATTACATATCTTTTTCATCAACATCCTACTTTGAAAATTTTGCTAAGATTAAGAACCTTGGCTCAAGTGGCTCCAAGTCTCTCTGTGAGACACTTGGTGCTGCGTTCAAATCCCACAAGCTGCTTTGCCTTAACTTTGGCTTCAAGGGATAACAGGACATTCTATTGGTAGAAGAGTTCTTGGATTCATTTTTTCTAAATGACTCAAACACTGTAATGTGATTTGCAGCTTTTTTGTGCTACAAATAAGCTGCTTCAATTCTTAATCTGCTGGAATATGAGGGTACAGTTTATGCAACAAGTGCTTAATTAGTAAACATTACTGCCTCGTGATACATCAAATGGTGACCATGAAACAAATATTAGCAAGAGTTGAAATGAATTTTGGAAAATGGCATGTTTGGAAGGCTTACCTTGGTGTAATATCTACAACCTTCTGCACCTTCAGTAACTAGGAGTAGCTTGAGGTTTTCGTGGAATAGTTTACGTACAACAGCATCATCGTATGGGTCCTCACCTTTTGTAAGAAAAGAAATCTCTTCTTCACTTACCTGAAACAGTCATCATATTGTTACATTCCTTACTCTAGAAAAGAGAGCGAGAAAAGCCTATTTCTAAAGACTATAATCAATATATGTTCTACCTTAATGATATCTGCAGTCTCCCATATACTCAGAATTCCTTCTCTTGCACTATCTTCAGAAGGCCATAAAGGAAGCCTCAGGTTAGGATCATAAGACAGAACTACACCAGCATCTTTTGCAGCCTTTGCTGCAGCAATGTGTGCTGATTTGCATGGTTCTGTTATAAGACTTATAGAACCATAATGGAAAATCTTCGCCTTGTAGCATGAAACAATAGAACAATATTACTATAATTCATAAATTTAGAAGAGTTAGAGCAGAACATATTAAGAAGTGAAACATAGACTTGGCAGTGAAGAAATTCATCCAAAGGGATACTAATAGTTAAACAAATTCACCAAGTATTAGTTGAAAGAAGTGATATTAAATAACTGAACAAATATTACGTGAGAAAAGTGCAACAGAAAGAATGTTGAGTAACATGCTCGATAGAGGTTTGATTTCCCTTTTATTCCACTCGGGGTACATTTTGCTTTAGTTTGACAACCACAAATTCTGCTTTTGGTTTTACCTTTCTGATTAGGTCCAAATCAAGCTCATCTTCTTGGAGCAGCATATCAGCACTGGGATTACGATAAAACATGAACTCTCGCTCTCCATCACTCCTCAGTGTAACAAATGCCAAGGCAGTACGTGCACCAGGGTCAAAACGCATCCCTTCATGGTTTACATTATTTTCCTTTAGTATATCCGCAAGCATATATCCAAATTCATCTTCGCCGACCTGTTCACGTTGCAAAAAACATTACTCGAATTTAGAAGAGACATTTTAACAATGACTTCTAACTTGTAAGAGAATAAAATACCAAAATCAGAGTTTATTGATCTAGGTATCAGATTCTCATTTGACTTTCAAACCAAACTGTTAGTGGTTGTAATTCAAATTATAGAAGGTGTTAGACAGTTAAAAAGGTGTGGTCAACTTTATTGATGATTTGAATAGGAGGGTGTGAGTCAACTTGATTAATAACAAAAGTGATGTGTTTGATATGTTTAAGAAATTCAAGTCCCTAGCTTAGAGGCAAAGTGGCAATTTACTGAAAATTATAATAACTGACGGTGGTTGTGAATATGTTTCAGATGAATTCAATAGCAACTATGAAGGAGAGGGTGTTATGTTATCCATGAAGTTACACCTCCCTACAGAATATAATGATATTGTAGAAAGGAAAAAAAACCATCATGAACATGATTGAGACGTTGAGGAGAAAAGGCTTACCAAGTTATCCATGGGGTGAGAAAGTCTCTATATATGTATATATTCTAATGAGATCACCCACTAAGAAGCTAGAAGGAAAGACACGCGAGGAAGCTTGGACAGGTAGAAAGCCTAGTGCTGATCAATTTGTTTCAAGCATGTGTTAGATCAGTTTAGAAGGAAACTTGGCAACAAGGAAGAGCAGATGATATTCATCGGTTATCATTCTACAAGAGGCAAGAAGAAAATGATAGTAAATAGAGATATGGTGGTTGATGAAACTAAAAGATGGGATTAGAAATCTAAGGCAAGTATCAACTCAGCTAAATGATGTTTGAATCTACTAGTCTAATTGAATCTGAGATTAACATAAATGCTCCACCAGATCTTAGAAGATCCATAAGGGTAAGGAAACTTCCACCTAATCTAAATGACTATGTTATCATGCCAGACATTGCAGTAGATTCTGAAAGTGAACTAGGGCACTATGTTCTGATGTCTGAAGTTAGACCAATTTACTTTGAAAGATCAATTCCAGAACCTAAGTTGGGTCAATACTATGAAAGAAGAAATTGGCTCAATTGAGAAGAACCAAACATGAGAATTAGTAAGTCTGTCATCTAAGAAAAGGTTCATCGCTTTTGAGTGGGTATACAAAGATCAAGTAAACCCATATGGTGAAGTGATGAAGCAAAAAGTCAAAGTAATTGCTAAGAGGTTCTTGCATAGAGAAGGAACTGGTTATGACGAGGCCTATGCACCTGGGCAAGAATGGAAACATTAAGATTGATGGTTGCAGTTAAAGATTTAAGAGGCTAGACCATGTACCAATTATATGTTAAGTTAGTTTTCGTAAATGGATCTCTTGATGAGGAAGCATATGTAAGTTTTATGATTAAAGGGCAAGAAGATAAGGTGCACAGACTGAGGAAGGCCTTGTATGGCCTCAATCAAGCGGCAAGAACTTGGAAAAAAATGATAGAGTTTTCTTAGCCAAATTGGCTTAAAAAAGTGCATTTTTGAGCATGGAGTGTATTTTGAAGGTGTTGGAAGCTGTGACAAGCACATATTTGATGGTGTAGGAAACTGAGACAGGCACAGATTTGATGCTTATACAAAGTGATGACATGTGAATCTTTGCGGGACAAAAATGAGGCTTAACTAACGATTTTATCTATGTGCCAGTATGCTTCAGATCGCTGATTAATACCATAGTGCAGTTAGAAATTTTTTTCTCTCTTGATTATGCCTGAGTAGGCAATGGTATTTTGTTCATTACAAAGAGACACACAAACTTCTATGAAATACATTACTCAGTAATATCTAAACAGGAATTCCACCCAAGTTAACCAAACCGACTAAGCAACAACCAAAAGCCAGCATCAAGCCACCTGAAAAAAATTAACTACCACTTGCTTAGGTCACCATTCCACAATGTGGTACCACCACATACTGTTTTTCACTCGTTTCCATGAACAATTAGGCCTAGAAACTATCCAAACCCACACACCATTATATAATAGAGACTGAATCCCCAAAAGTACAGAGCTTGCGAGCCACCCAAAAAGAACTCGAATGCCCAAAACCATTCACACTGCCCGGGTACTTTACAGTAGTATTGTGAGTCAAGAAAGGGTTAACCCATGTTTTTGCCACTCAAAGGTTCACATGCCAGACTTGAATTCCTTTCCTTAAAATTTGACATCCCATCATACTAATTTTTCATTTTGCCAACATGCGTACCAAGTGAAAGCCTAGATGGTGTTGTCATACAAATGCTTAGATGACATTAACAAGCCATCTTAGCAATTATTAGATCACTTCAGAATTCATTATTGTTTCTGGAGACTAACAGAAACTTATGTGGTGGATACTTTCACTATGGAGGGACTAATAAATGACACAAATCTTGTAGGGACCAATTTGTTATCCCATAAATATTTCAAGGACCAAAATAGGAGTTAACTATTGATTAACCTTATCATCTATTTCTTCATAAAATCTGATTATGTAACAAACATGCTGATTAACATTACAAGCCTAAAGTTTGACAGCACAGGGATAAGGATGCCGGGACAATATCAAGTTTGCTAGCAAAGACAATATTGGCAGTATGCCAAAGCGAACAAGTAAATATGATGCTTCCTATAACAGAAGTATAGANGTTTCTGGAGACTAACAGAAACTTATGTGGTGGATACTTTCACTATGGAGGGACTAATAAATGACACAAATCTTGTAGGGACCAATTTGTTATCCCATAAATATTTCAAGGACCAAAATAGGAGTTAACTATTGATTAACCTTATCATCTATTTCTTCATAAAATCTGATTATGTAACAAACATGCTGATTAACATTACAAGCCTAAAGTTTGACAGCACAGGGATAAGGATGCCGGGACAATATCAAGTTTGCTAGCAAAGACAATATTGGCAGTATGCCAAAGCGAACAAGTAAATATGATGCTTCCTATAACAGAAGTATAGAAACAACCTAGAGAAGTACCTATATAATACCTTTCCAATGAAAGCTGATGAACCCCCTAATCGAGATATGCCTACTGCAACATTAGCAGGGGCACCTCCAGGAGCCTTTTTAAACGCAGGTGCTTCAGCCAAAGAAAGGCCACTGACAGTTGGGACAAAATCAATGAGCATTTCCCCAAAACAAACCACAAGAGGTGATTCCTTTGTTTTAGGTGTCCCATCACCAGGAACAGCCTTTCCTGTACAAAGAAAAGTTGAGTAGTGAAAATGCATTCATATCATAACTTGATACCCCTAGATAACAAGATCTTTTAAACAAGGACGACTTTGAATGAGGTTCTGCAAGCTTATTTGCACTTACGAAAATAGTTTAATGGCTATCACTAACATCTTAAGCTTATTTTAAGAACATTTTTATGTTTTCTACACTATTAACTAATAAAAAAACCAACAAAATTATTGATTCTTATAATAACTGTTTTTAAATTCAAGCACGGACTTTTTTTTGTTAATAATGAAAGACTTTTAAATTGACAATGCATGCTTATTAGTTTCTTGCCTTAATTATTTATCAGAGAAAAGTTTACTAAATAAGGTCTTAAGTTTATTATCCAAAGACACCTAAAAGCTCACATGTACACAACTCATATTGATAGCACAAACTGCATCCTCCCCTAATTGCAACAAGCATATTCGAAAACATTGCAAAGGTTCAAACAGAACAGAAAACAGTTGCTCTTCTTCATAGCATGCATAAAACTAAGATTTAATGAAGACCCATAATTTGGATTACCTCTGACATTCAATTTGACAGTAGGAGGGGTAAGAGGGGAAGCAAAGGTGGAAGCTTGGACAGTGGGCTGACTGAACTTGACAGAACATAGAGGGTGAGAAGCTACACTCCTGAAGCTGAAAACGCCACAGTGAAGAGCCATCAAACAAGGAAATCACTACTAAACACCCCTCAAGGACTTGGCTCTTGAAATTCGTTTCTTTTCTCTCTTTATCAACCGAAATTGAATATTTTTTCTGAATTTGGAATGTGGGCAAGATAATTGATGGGGTTTGTGTGAAAATTGCCTTTGGAATGGACGAAATCTGGGTTACGTTGTGTTGCGGAGTAAGCAAAGGAAACATAATGCACGATTTGTGCAATTTCTCTGCTGCTTTTTTTATTATTTATTTGTTTATCAGACAATAGAAAGATTCATAAGCATCTGCACGTTTTGAACTGCTTATTGCTGACGCTGTTCAACTGAGAATCATGTCATGTTACTATAACCGTTAAATAACAAACCAAGTTTATTTACCGTTGCCACCTGTAAGCAAATATTTGAAAAACAACGAAGATTTTACACATGCATAAATGATAAACAGAAAGTATGAGTAAATACAATGTAAAAACATTTTTTATATTTGAGTCGATTTGTGTAAGAAAATATTCGATTTGAATTTTATGATAAAAATATATATTGTTGCGAAGAAGGATTTTATAATAAAGATGGTCAATTAAGTTATTTATAAAGATTAATAAAGTAGGCAAATAATAAGTACTGTGGTATAGTAATATGAAAAACAGGGAGAGAAATTTGGTGAAGTTTGAGAAGATTGATTATCATCAAAACAATGTTTTTTAGTCCCTTAAAAAGATTTTAAAAGTATTAGTTCCAAAAAATAAGACATTAAAGATCTTTTCGGACAAGTTCTAAAAAAATAATTGAATTTAACTTCTTAATAAACTGATTTAACTCATGTATATATTATGTAAAAATATATATATTTTAATTAATTCATGTATAAGTTAATTTTCACCCTAAAAAACTCTTTTTTTTCTGAAAGAAAGTTATGGAAAAACTCACTTAAACATGTTTATAAAATTAACGGCGGTCATAAAATGGTCAAAATAGTGTCGTACACACTTTTTCTGACATAATTTACATAATAAGTTGTTCTATTTCAGAAAATTTAAATTAATTTGTATTTATTAGACTATAATAAATACAAATTTTGTATTTTTACCTATTTTATAGTTTATGTACACCTATATTCTTTGGGAGGAAAGTATACACTCATATAATACATAGACCACAAAGCCCAACTCTAGGACATTCTCATTTTGGATTTTAAATAACGGTTTTTACTTCCTGTATCCTTACAATTTTCTCATGCATCCCTCAAATTTTCTAAATGACATTTTGCTTTATGTAAAAGCGACTTTTTGAAATACATATTTTGAAAACATTCCTGAATCCGATTTTAAAAATAAAATTTTCATAACAAAAACTTTAGAATGTGATTTTCGGAAAAGAATTTCCGAAACAGTAAAATATATTTCGGTATTAATTTTTTGGAATGATATTTTCGAATAATGCCTTTCCAAATGAATTTTGCTAAACACTCCTATATAAAATTTGTTTGAAAAAGAATTTTCCAAAATACGTGAAATATGTTTTGGAAAGAGCCTCTTGAAAGAAGTTTTTTCATTTTTTTATTTTTTTATTTTTTTATTTTCTCTCCTCTTCTTCCTTTGCTTTGCAACGTTGCCTCTCTTTTTCTTCCTTTGCAACAGGATAATGATGAAAGGGATGACGGCAACAGTAGTGATAGTGAAGGGTGTTTGAGTCTTTTTATTTTATTGAGGATGTAATTAGTAATTATGAAAGTGCTAGAAGCAATAACCTTAAATAAGTGACCTAAGCCCAATTATTGATTAAGATTTGTTGAGAATACACACCAATTAACCAAATTAATTTTTAACAATATGTCAAAAGTATTCATAAAACATATTATGTTGGTATTAAGTTTTCAAGATACATATGCATCTATGTAAACAAATTTTTTTTCAACATACATTCTTAGAATGTACTTTTGTTAGGAACTTTGATAACATTTTGTTCAGATGCAGAATTATACATATTTTTATTTTCTAGATAAACAATGAAAATGTTTTTTTATTGAGATATATTAATATAATGTATTTTAATTGTATATGTTAATATTAATTTCATTATATGAGGGTGACGAGAAAAGAGATTGGGAGGTGGACGGGTTAAAAGAAGCGAGTGGAAGGGGAAAGGGATATATAAGAAAAGAGGGTAGAAAATTTAAAAAGAAAGGGTGTGAGAATAGAACAAAGGGAGGTACTCAGAACAGCATGATCCCCAGTTCAAGTTGGGCCCTTTGTACAGGCCAATGTTCTCAAGGTAATGAAGCCCATCATCACTTTTTTGTAGGTTCCAGCCCGTCACTAGTTGTCCCATTTTTTTTTCCTACAAAAATTCTCCCTTTTAATATCAATGATATATCCTATAAAATGTGTTTCCAATAATAAGAGCGAGAAAAAAATATTTAAAAAATTTAATTAAAGAATTTAAAAACAAAAATATTAAAAAATAAATTTTAATCTAATTTAATTTTATAAAATTTACTTATGTTTTTTGTAAATTTATTTTATCACTATATATATATATATAAGTGATTTAATAACTGTTAAATAACATGTTACATGATGAATTCAACTAAAAATAAATTTTATCAAGATAAATGTTAAATGATTTTATTACTATATTAAAAAAATAAACTTTAAACTTGATTTATATAATGTAAATTTACTAATGTGATATATGAGTCTTCCTCTAAGAATGTATTGGTGTATTACATGTGTTTAAAGCTTAAAGCGCGTAAAATGATGAGAATCACATGAATGAGGCGATTATATGAATCACATAAATTCTATAAAATAAATTGACTATAGTTATGTAAAAAATGCAAATCCACGTATATATTAAAATATCATCTGAAATTTACCGAGAAAGTTGAAGTCAACCTATAGGATATAATTCACTTTTATATTTGGTAACTTTGTTAAGTTCGGTATTAAAATCATAAACTTTAGTTAGATAAAGAAGAAGAATACTCATATTGTGACATCCGGACACTGATGAGGGCGGGTAGTGATTATTGGTGCAAGAGACACAAACAAAGAGCGGTTCTTAGCAGGCTTCTAGTAGAAGGGACACATGAATGAATCGAACATGCACCAGAATGAGAGGGATCTAGAGACTGTATAAGTACGGGACTATACTGTTGAAGGATTGCTTAAAAGGATTGATTTGACTACTTATATCACCAAAATGCATTTACTTTTTGGTAGTCTAATCTATAAGAACTGCATGGTTAAACGTGTTTAGACTTGAGTAATTGAGGGATGGGTTGTCAAGTAACAGAGCTGTTGAACCATAAAACAACTTAAATCAAGCGGGCCATGTGAAATTGCTTAGCCGATGGTACCAAGTTTTCTTGCAATAAATGGGCATCTACTTTGTATTCATAGTAACTACCATGTCCTCTTCATCATTTTCTATGTTCTGTTACCTGCATACGTGAGAAAATTGTATGACATTTAACATTGTTGTCGTGTTGCTTTCGTTGGCATCAACACGTTTGGAGAAAAGCAACTGTAGTTATCACAATTTTTGTGAATAAAAAGTATAAGTTGGTTTGTCTCATCAATTCTGCTTTTCACCCTTCACGCAATTATATGATTGTGCTATCTCATCTATATATTTCCTAATGTTAGAAAGAGTTAAGAACATATTTATATTATATATATAGTCACTTTTGTATACTGTATTATGATTATATGTTATTTAGCGTTTTCAAAAATCTAGTATTTGAACTTTACAAAGAATAAAATATATAATCTCAGAAGATAAATTCAAGCTTAGTTAAAGGCCTACATGAAAAAAATTTACCTCAATTGTTATAAAAATCTATTTTAATTAATAAGTTATAACCATTTACTTTCATTCAAAATTTAATATACAGTATATGTATTAATTAAGTTTCATCAAAAACTAATATCTACTTTAATATCTTAGATTTACTCGCAAATATAAGATCAAATGATCATAATAAGTTTATTGCAACCTAAGTCACATGATGTGAAAGAATTCTTATCTTAGTTTCTCTTACCTTAATATTTTAATGTGACTTAAACATTACTGAAGTTAAGATATTTCTTTTACTAGGTGACAATGCTTAATACTTAAATTAAATAACTTATTTATCATCTCATGTGTTCACAAATTCATATAATTTTCATCATTGACAACCATTTTCATATAACATGCAAACTTCTTCAATTTTATATAAGAATCAATATTCAATTTGTATTATTCAATGAGTTAATAAAAAGATCAAATCAATAACTTTTTTTTTCAACTTGAGCAAACATATTTTTATTTGAGTGAAAATATGTTCACTACACTAAAAATTGGACAAAATTTTGGTTTAGTGGGAGTGTTATTTTCTGTTAAGAAAAATAAGGTAAAAAACAATATTATTTTTAATCCTATTTTTACTGAAGCGAAAAATATTTTGTTTGACCAAAAATAGGACAAAGAATAATATTTTTGTGTCTCTGTTATATTTCTCTTTAAGAAAAAATATAAGAAAAATTAGTTTTAACAAACAATCAAACTAGATTTCAAGAATAATTTCTAAAACATTTTATATAATACAAGTTCTAAAGAATACAAATGATTAATTCAAAAAATAATTTGCTCAAATTTAATTCTTTACTCATATCAACTCAACCTTGGATGATTCTTTTAACTTAAATTATTTATGCTTATATCAATGTTGTAAGTTATCGTAAAGAAAAATTCTAAACTTAAACCACTAAAATTCTAGAATTCATATACATAACCTAGTCACTATATCAATGTATCAATAAAAATATCTAATTCAAAACATTTTAAATGTCAAACAAAAATTCACAGTAAAGCTAAAACATTCATTCAATTTTCAAACCAATCACAATTTCTACATAGTAATCAAAATCTAAAGATCATGTCACGTTTATATATATATATATATATATATATATATATATATATGTCATCTATCATAAGGTTGTAGAAAAAAATAATTTTCCTTACCTACGGTAAAGTCACTCAAAATATAGGAATTAAAACAAATTATTCAAATACAAAAGATATTTAATATACAGTAAAACAAGTTAAAATATTTATTTTTCTTAACTGATCTCACTAAAGTTTATAACACAATCTTAAAGAAAATGAAGAAATAATCTTTAAGTAATGTTTGAAAATCTAGCCGAATAAAAATATTTCTTAGGTTCTGATATACTAAAAGATGTTATCCAATAGATAAAATATGGAAGAGGAAAAATAAAGTTGAGAGAAAAAAAAATA